CTACAATACTGCCTTTCGCAAATATTCTATTTACATACATTTTTACCATCATATTATTAGTATCTAATTTTATGACTTGATTTCTAATTCGTTAACCTGCTTTTCCGCTAATCGTTTTCATCGGCTCATGCAGCTGCATGACGCCTCGCGAATGTGAATTTGGTTGCTTTTCTCTTTAAGGAATTTATTATTATTTTTTGGGAAAATGACTTAGCTGGAATGAACTAGATTTGGGATTTCTGTAACAGTATTTTGCTTGCTATGGCTCGAGCATGCATGCGTGTTTGTGTTGCGTGCGTCATTATTTGCATCATAATTTTTTTACTTCATTTTACACTTAAGAAAAAAAGTTGTATGTTAAATTAACTTTTCGCTTTACTTGGGGAAGAGCTCGAGATTTATAATGTTAGAAAAACATATCTCAGAAGCGATAACGTGAAAAAGTTTTCAAATCATGCATTAAAAAACAGACGCGTAAAAATAAAATAAATATGTAATAATGAAAGTTTCCTGATAATTGAACCTGCGCGCGCACAAAATGCGTTTTTTAAAATAGGAGTTTTTTTTCTTTCTTTCTTTTCTTAATTTCTAAGTAGCCTGTTTAAACATGAAAACTTTTATAGAAATTACGATCGATCTGTTGTTGTTGATATTGTAGGTAATATGTGAATTCTGGTCTCCTTAGAAATAATTGGATACATTCGATGAGACTTACATATTAAAAGTTTGTCATTTTCAGTTTAGTTTTATTACAAAATTTTTTAAAAAATTACTATGAAATGTTTGATAAATTAATCATTTTTACGAAACTTGAAATGTTAGGGATTTTATAAAACTTGAAAGATTTGAGAGAATCTCAGAAGAACAGGCTGCAATATATAAATCCGGTCAGACTTTAATTAAGTGTATTTTTTTACCAACCGCACCACTATTTAATTGGCCAGTTTTTCTTTCCAAAATATTCGATTCTGTCATGATATACAGAGAGTAGACCGACCGACCGCTGTGGGCGATTAAGACATTCAAAATGCCCTAGATATGGATTAACTTGATGATTCCAATTTCCACTAATTAACTACTAACTACTAATTTCTTCTGCTTTTACAGTTTAAAGACCTGGTCGAACCAGTAAATCTGCTAGGAATTGTACAAATGAAACGAATTGAATTTACAAAAACCTATTCGTTATTATAAACAAAAGATCAGAAAAACCACATTGAAATAACTAATAAACTTTTTACAAAGCAAAACAAAAAGTAAATCATAAATGAAAAGTGAAACGCAGAGTACATTACTAAAGTGAAATAAAATTTTAATATGTAAGTGACATCATATATGTGTGTATGTGTATAGAATTGTATGCCCTAAAGGAGATTCGCTTATATTAACATATTTATTTTATAATTTTAAAGTTGACATTGAGGCATTTTCTTTTGGATTATTTATTCATACACAAATGCTTAAAGATATTATTGAATTTGTTACTATGTATGCCTAAATACAATACAATATATATATATATATATATATATATTAATATATATATAGATATCTATATATATATATTACATATTATTCTCTATATATATATATTACACTATTTATTAATTTAATAATTTTAGACTAGAATATGAAAAATACGTTCAAGGTAATGACAACCTATTCACAATTTTTGGAGAATTTCTATTAATTTAATTGTTAACTATAAGATATTTTATTAAATGTTTTTAACACAAGATTTACTCTAACTACGATAACATTTACTTCATTAAGTATTTTTTATTTCATTCGCATTCACCTTTTTCGCATGAATACATATATACATGCACTCAGAATGTGAATTGCGTTCATATATATAGGTTATGTTCTTCAAATAAGACGTTTATTTTGAAAATCAGGCAATTGATAATGAATTTTTAAAAAGCATGGGATCAAGACAGTCGTTTCCGTTTATAAATAAAATTGTTATCTATTTAAACTATAGATGAAATGTTTTTAGAGTTTTTTATTTTTTTATTTATTTATTTTTATTTTTTTTTTTTTTTGGAAGTATGTCAAACATCTCGATAAGAAAATACAACTTGCCTCCTTTTCAAAATAAAAATAAAAACAAGATAAGACTGATTTCTTTAAATTTTTTAAATGTTTACAAATAAATTATAATTTTTTATATTATCTCGAATCTTGTGCTTTTTCAATCAAGCAAAGGCTGACTTTTTTCACGAGTTATGGGAAGGCTAAGTAAAACCATAGATAGCAAACTTTGTTCAGATTTCAAATTTTGTTTTTAAGCAATCGTTAAAACATCATTTCAAATGTTCGGTTACTACTTTTATATATTATTAGTTATATCTAATAAAATGTAGTTAATCTAAAAACAAAAATTAATGATTGCTCCTCAAAAACAACCAATTGTTAAATTGGTTAAAGAAGTGCTAAGCATTGTAGAATTGATAAAAACAAAGTGTAATAACTCTTAGCTGCAATCTTTTTTCTTTCTTTTGTTCAGGTCAGGGGATGTGATTTATTTTGTAGCGTGCACTCAGCTATAACTACCGATCAAAATAAACTCTACCCCATCAAGATCTGAAGCCATACACGCCGGCTCTGTAGTCACTAGTCTTTAACCTACTCAGCGCAACGCACTGTCCGACTTTCGACTCCACTTTATCATAAATAATCCTTTACCCGACTTTATGCGCATTACGTACATAATAGCCTGAAATTCCAACTTCTTCTGCCCATTCGAATTTATTAAACAACCGGAACACTCAATGTCCGCCCGCAAGAGCAAGACAAAGGGTCCCATCAAGAGAAACTAAAAAGAGATATAAGTTTTTGCTTATGCTATAGATTACCGACCAACTGCAAGTACATATACCAAGAGAAACATAAACTCAATGAGAATTTTTTGCATTTTTTTATGATAACAATAACGCACTGCTAAATTATGAATACAGAAATTGCTAACAGAACAATGATAGGCTGTTATTAAGTTCATTAACATGTGATTCCGATTCGTTTTTACGCGCTTCTATATGAGGGGGCAATGTAAGTCATTCACCACAGACCTCATCGTGAATTATATCAACGTCTCCTAATAATCACCACCAACAACAAATTGCTATAGTGCAACCAATAATATCAACCGAATCCTAACCGTCAAAGTACACCAAAGAATTTTTCAGCCATACCACGAAACAGTTCAAATAAATATAAATTCGGTATAATATTGCGCACCGGATTACATAATAAAATCCACCACACCGCAATTGTGACAGCGAAGAATTCACCTCAGCGTTTATCTTCTATAACGAAACATAATTTGACAGTCTTAAATTTGCTTAGTCCCAACTATGAAGAAACCACCTCGTGAAAGTCTTAAAAAATGGAGGAAGGAACAAATGAAAAATTATGACCAAAATTTTCTTTTTTTTGTTCAGGGGATGTGATTTATTTTGTATAATACGGTGGCAATCAGAAAGAAATAACGAAGAGAAAGGAGGGATAGGGAAGCTGCGGCCGCTGTCTAGTGGGCGTATTACGTACAATCGTCACTGACTAAGCGTGGACTCAACTATAACTACCGATCAAAATAAACTCTACCGCATCAAGATCTGAAGCCATACACGCCGGCTCTGTGGTCACTGGTCTTAACCTACTCAGCGCAACGCACTGTCCGACTTTCGACTCCACTTTATCATAAATAATCCTTTACCCGACTTTATGCGCATTACGTACATAATAGCCTGAAATTCCAACTTCTTCTGTCCATTCAAATTTATTAAACAACCGGAACACTCAATGCCCGCCCGTAAGAGCAATACAAAGGGTCCCATCAAGAAAAACTAAAAAGAGATATAAATTTATGCTTATGCTGTAGGTTATAGCCCAACTGCAAGTACATGTACCAAGAGAAACATAAACTCAATGAGAATTTTTTGCATTTATTTGTGATAACAATAACACACTGCTAAATTATGAATACAGAAATTGCGAACAGAACAATGATAGGTTGTTGTTCACAACACATACATATATAAGATTCGGAGACAATTGAATTCATTCTGTTTGTTTGTCATTTGTTCTTCCAATGCAATAGGCAAACAATTGTGATTTTAAATTTGTAGTCGATATTAATCGGACCAGCAAGTCGAATATGTCAAGTATTGAGAAGTGTAAACAACATATACGCTTATTCTCACATGTTTGGAATTTTTATACAATTTATTGAGAACATATACGCTTATTCTCTAAAGCGCGTATACATTATACAAATACATGTCCAAGTATTGAGAACTGTAAACAACATATACGCTTATTCTCACATGTTTGGAATTTTTATACAAATTTTCTGCGAACAGCTACTATGTATATATAAATCGCTGCATAGTCCTTAGAGAAGTAACAACTCTTCTCATTTAGATACGATAAATACATTAAAAATGTAGATAGGTATAAGCAGAAAATTTGACCGACTTGTGAGAGTCGCAGCTCTTACCTGCTCGGCTACTCTTGCCGATCTGTTGATTCGAATACGATTCTTCTAATAAAGCAAAAGTTTAAACAGTAACGAAGAAGATGCTTTACTGTAAGAACTTGTCCACAATTACAGGTTGACAAGGAAGATTTCTGAAGTAGGTTGTATGGCCAAAGTGAATTCTCGCAAATGTTTCGATCTGCCTCAGTCCCGTTGGGAGCGCAAATGGCAGAAATTTGATTGTGATTTTGTTTCACGCAACTTTCACTGACGTACTGCTGGGAATTGTTTCGGAAAATAAATTTCAAAACTGAGTGCCTTTAGTTTTTCTCATTTCTTCCTGAATTGAGCTTTGGCTTTTGCATATATAAGAATAACATATGAGTATGTGTGGTCAAGACATCTTTTAAAGCGATATTGTTTAAATAGCTCTTGAACGGGTGTATGCATGCAAGGATGAGCAACCGTGTGTATTGATATAGACATCATGTTTTTCAATTCAGAAATAACTCATTTTGTCTAAGAAAAATGAATTTTTTTTTTGCCGGACTAACAGAGGAATTGTTGGAGCTGTTATGATTGAGAAATAGTCACTGTCGTGCAGAACAACAGAAATAGACCACGAAACGCAGAAAAAAGGGGCGACGGACAAGAACAAAAATGCGATGAGTTGAAAACCGTGCTCATCGCCTTCATTTGAAATGCAGAGACCATTTTGGATGAAGGCAACAATTGTTTCTTGTCGAGGCCCATACGACGTTCCGACTGTTCAATCGTCATATATAATGCAATGTGAAACGAATTATAAAGTTGTCGCTAGGGAAGCAATTGCGACGGTGGGATATGAATTGAAAGCGCATTTATTTATATCGCTACGACCTGTACGTTTAAATTTAAGTTTATTCCGTTGCGAGGGATTTTGGATTTTATAAAAACGCCCACTCGTTATTTTCAATATGAATATTTGCTGGGGCTACTTCATGAACTTGTACAAGTATGAAAATAATATTAATAGTTTCCTGCTTTTTTCCTCCATACGATATCGAATCGACATATGGCTGTATCTTGCTATCAAATTTCGTGCATAAGGTGCTAATTGCTCCGGTCCTTATTTCTCTTATTATTATTATTATTATTATTATTGTATACTCAAGCTTCACATTGAATGAAAGAAGACTAATAATAACTGTCAAGTTTCTGACGAAAAGCAACAAACAATCGATTCCTGTCTGTGAGTGTATATACTTTGTGCAGTTTTTTAATTTTAAGCATTTTGTTTTTTTTTCTTAAAGGCCTACGTAAATTTTATACATAATGTTTTGTTTTTTTAACTGTTAACGATAGGCAGTATTGCTTGTTTGCTTTATGCAGTCAAAAGAAGAAAAGCGCCATCTAGAAATGAAAATAAGATATTTTTTTTTTATCATTTACCCTGCACTGCTAAATTTGGCTCATCTTCAGTCATCACCATGAAATGCGAGCATACTAAGTTTTTTAGATGACTTGTGATTTCTTAAAAGAAGTAAAAAGACAGCGAATCAGATAAATTAAACCAAGATGATTGTTAGCAGTTATGTTTGAAATAATTGAAAATCGAATCGAATTAGGAAAATAGATTAAACTTCGATAAACAATCATTTCTATGCTCTTCTGTGTACCTTGTCATCACAAAATGAATTATTTATATAAAACGGTAAAGGGAAAATAAGCAACTCATACAGCGGTAAACATTTGCCTAAAGAGACCGGAATGATCCCCATTTTAAGTAAAGGTGTCAGTGAACGTTAGGTATCTAAAATGCGACCCGACTTCATATTATAATTGCTTTCGATATCATTTTTGTTTGGATGCATGAAATGGACGATCGCTTGTTGGTCATTGATTACGCAAACGTTTAAGTTTAAGTCTTTCCCAGTGCGCTTCTTTTCACGAACTTGGCAAAGAATCATGACAAATGTAGGGAAATGCGCCGTTTGCGGTACGTACGCCTCACTGAAATGTATAGCTTGCAAAAAGGTATACTACTGCGGTAAGGAGCATCAAAAAATTCATTGGAAGAAGGGTCACAAATCCGACTGTAAATGCTATGAGGTAATTGTTCATACATTTATGTTCATTCTCGTTATCTTTATTAAATGGAAATTTTTGAATAAAATTGAAAATTCGTTAGATCGCGTCAAACGAACTGTTGGGGCGTCATTTGCGCGCTACGAGAGATATTAAATGCGGCGAAATTATTATGCAAGAATTGCCATTGATTTATGGACCCAAAGTAGCAAGCGCACCATTGTGCCTGGGCTGTCATAGTAAATTACCGATCCCTGATAATAATTATTATAAATGCCGTAAATGCGCGTGGCCTTTATGTGGTCCGGATTGTGAAAGTCGTGAAGATCATATTGATGAGTGCGAATTAATGTCCTCACGTAATTTCACTGCCAAAATTGATTATATCCCAAGCAAACAAGAAATGGGCAAAAAAGAATCTGCTTACTGTGTGATCCTACCCTTACGGTGTCTTCTTCTTAAACATAAAAGTCCAGAGGCATTTAAGAAATTGCTAAACCTTGAAGATCATTTGCAGGAGCGTATTGATACACCTTTATATAAAGTTCTGAAAGCCAACCTTGTAACATTTATCAAGATTATATTGGGTATGAATGAATGGAGCGAAGAGGATATTTTACGTGTGGCTGCCATATTGGATACAAACGCATTCGAAGTTCGACAACCTGCCAAAGAAAGAAAAGTGCGGGCTGTGTATCCCATGGCTGCTATGTTTTCGCATAACTGCATTTCAAATGCACGCCCTGCCTTTAACGAATTAATGCAAATAGTATGCATAGCCAAAACTGAAATTGCTAAAGGGGATGTAATATCTATTTCATACACCCAGCCGCTAAAGAGCACTTTAATGCGTCGTCTACATCTCGCTCAGGCTAAATGCTTTGACTGCGTCTGCAATAGATGTAAAGATCCTACGGAACTTGGCATTTTCGCGGGTGCAATACTATGCAGCAGATGTAAAGTTGGAAAGGTTTGCATACCCGGAGGCACTTCATATTATCAAGCTTTCAAAGAATAGTTTTTTCTCCCGGAAATTTCAGATTATCTCTACGAATCCTTTGGACAATTCAGCCGTTTGGCAATGCCAGTTGTGTCCACACAAGTTATCTGCAAAGCAAATTAATTTGGGTAATGCTGCTTTGCAGGAGGAACTTAATTCATTAAATAAAAGTTCACCTCGATTTTTAGAAGAGTTCCTGCTAAGATATCGCGATACTTTACATGAAAAGAATACACATGTTTTACAAGTAAAATATGCGCTTATTCAACTCTACGGTAATATCTCCGGTTTTTATTTGCATGGTAAGCATAATTTTACTTATTCAGCTAATATATATATAGTGGATTTTGTTCAATAAGAAATGAATGATGCTGCAATTAAACGAAAAATCGAATTGTGCCTAGAATTACTAGAGGTCGCCGATGTAATTGACGCTGGCTGGAGTATTTTCAGAGGTAATATACTAATGGATCTGCAGGAAGCTTCAGTAATGCAAGCGAAGAACGAATATCTAAATGGGCTTCTAACTCGTGAAGCTGTCCAAGTACAGTCAATTTTTCGATTAACTGTATTTATTTTTGAAAAAAATATATTTTTTAGGAAAAACTTGCAGAAGCTATGCAATTATTAAATGAGGCCATGAATATTATGAAAGTAAATTCGGACGTAGAGTCGCTCTCCTTCGAACGTATACAGCGCTTAGCCAAAGAATTGGACGTGGATATTTGAAGACAGCTATAATTCATTTTCGATCGTCTAAAAGTGTTTTAATAAGTACTTAAAACAACTCTACACGTAAAATTATCCGCACTATTTTGCGCTCTGTTGTTCGCAAATGCTAATGAACAGAACTGTGGAATGACTGAAATGGCTACAAATTTTTCGAATTGTTTTAATTCCATTATGTTCTTTCATTGGTTTTGTTTGCTTGCTAAATATTTTAAACAAAATTTTTCCGCAAGTAAATTATTTATTATTTATTTGTAAACCGTAATTAAAGTACAATTCTTTTCAAATTTTTGCCTTTAAATATAAATCAAATATGTTTTCCTCCGATAAATAAAATAATCGTTGCATAGAGTTGTAATTTTCGAATCTATTCTTTTAGTTTTATATTAGCTTAAATCTTAAATTCTGCAACTTGTATATAATGCGTCCTTCAACTTATTCAGTTTATATGTAATGTGCACTTCAACTTGTTTCGCAATATTTTTTAAGCATTCCTACACGACACCAAAAACAGGATATATCTATTTCGTCATAATCACTCTATATAGAAGAAAAAAAATCTAATATTAGAGAGCCTATTACTTGAATAATAAATTTATGTATACGGAGGCAGCAGTAGTTATAATCTTGAAACTTACAAAATTTTTTCGTATTTCAAAATTTAATTTCTTTGTTTGTAGACTTTCATTTCCTACGTACATCATATATGTTTAATGAATGCTAATACTTGTTATACTTGAATTTATAATGGTATAGAATTAAGCAAATGTCTAGTATTCTTAAATCTGTATGCAAACATTTCATGAGAACTTAGTTTCCGTACAATAAAACCGACTTAGAACTTCGAAATTAACGCAATCTCTACACGAAACAGTAAATGATAAAAGTGAAATTTTTGCTGGCAAGCATTGTTACTTGGCATCACTCACACAGCTGGTAGTTTTGACTTTGAGAGATAATACTCGTATGTGTAGAAAAATATATATTAAGCTGAAGCAATTATAGAAAACAGTAACTGAAACACAACAATTATTACTTTTGCTCTCATCTGAAAATAAAACAAATAAATTGTGAATTTGTTAAATTATGGCGAATATAACAGCAGCGGTTATAGCGAACCGCAATAAAAAGCATTTTCTTGGCGTGCCAGCTCCCTTAGGTTATGTTGCCGGCGTAGGTCGTGGGTAGGTATAGATCAGTCATGTGCGATGTATGAATAATCGACGTACCCCTTTTAGAGCCACTGGATTTACTACTCGATCTGATATTGGTCCAGCACGAGATGCGAATGACGTATCTGATGATCGCCACGCACCACCTGCCTCAAAACGTAAGAAAAAGGATGAAGAAGAAGAGGAGGATGAAGATTTGAATGATTCGAATTATGACGAGTTCTCTGGCTACAGTGGGTCATTATTTTCAAAAGATCCTTACGATAAAGACGACGAAGAAGCGGATGCCATTTACGATTCTATTGACAAGCGTATGGATGAAAAGCGTAAAGAGTATAGAGATCGTAGGCTAAGAGAAGATTTGGAACGATATCGCCAAGAGAGGTAATCCAATCCGTATATATTGTATAAATGGGAGCTTATAAGATTTTAATAAGAAAAAGTTCTATGATTTCTTCTGAATCATGTAAATACTTCGGTTTTCATTCTATTTAGACCAAAAATTCAGCAACAATTCTCGGATTTGAAAAGATCGTTAGCCACGGTAACTGCGGAAGAATGGTCTAATATCCCCGAAGTGGGCGACAGTCGTAATCGTAAACAGCGTAATCCCCGAGCAGAAAAATTTACACCTCTACCAGATAGTGTATTGGTTCATAATTTGGGCGGAGAAACAACTTCAGCCATAAACCCCTCGTCAGGATTAGCATCAATGGTTCCTGGAGTAGCTACGCCTGGTATGTTAACGCCTACTGGAGACTTAGATCTGCGTAAAATTGGCCAAGCCCGGAACACGTTAATGAATGTGAAGTTATCTCAAGTATCTGATTCAGTCACTGGTCAGACAGTGGTTGATCCTAAAGGATATCTTACTGACTTGCAAAGCATGATTCCTACGTATGGAGGAGATATTAACGATATAAAGAAAGCTCGTTTGCTCTTAAAGAGTGTTAGAGAAACTAACCCTAATCATCCACCTGCGTGGATTGCCTCCGCCCGTTTGGAAGAAGTCACAGGAAAAGTGCAAATAGCTCGTAATTTGATAATGCGGGGTTGTGAGATGAATCCCCAGTCTGAGGACCTTTGGTTAGAAGCAGCACGTCTGCAGCCAATCGAAACTGCTAAAGCGGTGATTGCTCAAGCTGCACGACATATTCCCACTTCTGTGCGCATTTGGATCAAGGCTGCAGATTTGGAAATGGAAGTTAAAGCAAAGCGGAGAGTTTATCGAAAAGCTTTGGAACACATACCCAATTCAGTTCGTTTATGGAAAGCAGCCGTAGAACTAGAAAATCCAGACGATGCTCGAATTTTATTGTCTCGAGCCGTCGAGTGCTGCAACACTAGCGTAGAATTATGGCTAGCTTTAGCAAGACTTGAAACATATGATAACGCTAGAAAAGTTTTGAACAAAGCTCGAGAAAATATTCCGACTGATCGCCAAATATGGACTACTGCTGCGAAATTAGAAGAAGCTAACAACAATATTCACATGGTTGAGAAAATTATTGATCGCTCGCTTACTTCTCTGGCAGCCAACGGTGTTGAAATCAACAGGGAGCATTGGTTCCAGGAGGCAATAGAAGCAGAAAAATCTGGAGCAGTACGTTGTTGTCAGGCCATTATTAAGGCAGTCATAGGGATAGGTGTAGAAGAGGAAGATCGTAAACAAACGTGGATGGACGATGCGGAATATGTAAGTAAAGAGTTCTATAACAGTTGCAGATTTAAATTGATTCGAAAATTAATAACAATATTGCTTGTTGGTTTCATTCGGTCGTAGTTTTATCATCTCGCTAGAGTTCATTAATTCTTTAGAACAAAATTTTCTCCAAGAGTTTTTTTTTTTTGTTACAAGAATTTTAGCGAGTCTTTAATCATAAGTCTAACGTTGGAAGCGAATACAATTCTCTTTGTTTCCTTATTTCTTCCAGTGTGCGAAAGAAAATGCCTTTGAATGTGCGCGTGCTGTTTACGCTCACGCTTTACAAATTTTTCCATCCAAGAAAAGCATTTGGTTGAGAGCCGCCTATTTTGAAAAAAATCATGGTGCACGCGAATCTCTAGAAGCGTTACTGCAAAAAGCTGTAGCACATTGCCCGAAATCGGAAGTATTATGGCTGATGGGAGCCAAGTCGAAATGGTTAGCTGGGGATGTACCTGCTGCTCGAGGAATACTTTCGTTAGCCTTCAAAGCCAATCCCAATTCGGAAGATATTTGGCTAGCAGCTGTCAAATTAGAATCAGAAAATTCTGAGTATGAGAGGGCTCGCCGCTTGCTAGCTAAAGCGCGTGGATCGGCTCCAACTCCTCGTGTTATGATGAAATCCGCACGCTTAGAGTGGGCTCTTGATCGATTAAGTGACGCCTTGCGATTATTAGACGAAGCTGTTGAAGTTTTTCCTGAGTTTTCTAAACTATGGATGATGAAAGGACAAATTGAATATCAGCAGAAGCGCATCGAAGAAGCCAGTCAAACTTACAATCAAGGCATAAAAAAGTGTCCGTCTTCAGTTCCGTTATGGTTACTTTCAGCTAACTTGGAAGAAAATCGGGGTGCTCTAACTAAGTCACGGTCTATTTTAGAAAGGGGTCGCTTGCGCAATCCAAAAACACCTAAGCTATGGTTAGAGGCTATCCGTGTAGAACTGCGTGCAGGCCTTAAGGAGATTGCGGGCACTATGATGGCGCGAGCGCTTCAAGAGTGTCCTAACTCTGGCGAGTTGTGGGCTGAAGCAATTTTCATGGAATCTAAACCATCAAGAAAAACAAAATCTGTAGATGCTCTCAAACGATGTGAACATGACCCGCACGTGCTTTTGGCCGTATCAAAATTATTTTGGTCTGAACATAAATTTTCAAAATGTCGGGATTGGTTTAATCGAACGGTAAGTATACGTTCATAATTATGCATACCCATTAGATAACAGTTTTATAACTTACTGTAGGTGAAAATTGATCCTGATTTGGGAGACGCTTGGACTTATTTCTATAAATTCGAACTGCTCCATGGTAGTGAAACTCAACAAAAAGAGGTATTGGAGCGTTGTATTGCAGCCGAACCGAAGCACGGTGAAGTTTGGTGTACGGTCAGCAAAAATATTAAGAATTGGTGCTTTAAAACTCCTGACGTTTTAAAAGCTGCGATCAAGGAGCTTGCTATACCCATATAAGATTTCTTTCAAGTTACTTAAAAAAAAAAGAAGAAAACTCATTCTTGGCATTACCAATTGTAATTAAGAAATAATTTTTAAAACAATTTCGATGGGTTGTTAAAGAAGTGCATGTTTCTTAAGTTTTTTAAGCAAATTTGCCAAAAGTTACTTTCCGTGATGTAAAAAACCCCAATATCAAATATGAATTTAATATTACAAAAAAGCGTCAAATTAACGATTTTTTTTTAAAGATAAGTATTCGTTTTTCGAGAATTCATCTTCAGAATACATTTTCAAAGATAGAAGGTGAACTAAATGTTGACCTTAAAAGATCTGCTGAAGACCATGTCAAGATTAAAAATGAAGAGCGACATTGGAAGTGACCGCATCCATGCTATACAATTATAGTAAAGTATTCGTTAATTTTATGTGCATGTATTAGTAAATTATTACTTCTGCGTACGTATTTATATATTAACTATTTGTAAATATCTTCAAATACATCATAAATAAATTCACAGCGTCATCTCTTACAAGCTACTAGCTATTAAACCATTAAAAATTGTCGAACATTTTCAATTTACTTGATGTTGCAAGCAAATTGCAGAAATTGCACGAAATTTTAATATTTAATAATTTCTATATATTATATCATTAGCTTTTGACAGGTTAGTTATATGTTCTTGACCAGCCTGACGCCCTTTTTTTTTCCTAAATTTAAAAACGCTCAGGTCATGAAAATGAAGCGAAACTTGAAACTTAAAATTCAATTGTGAATTGAATGTAATCGGGCCATGTAAGTGCCTACAAAACAAAACAAAACTAATAAACTAATTAACGAAATTATATTGACTTGTGGTGTGTATGGTGGAGCGTGTAGAGTGATGAGCAAAAAACCCCCACTCTTGCTTTTATAAACGGAGGTGTTCTTAGCTTGTGTTGTGTTGTGGGCGGGTCCGTTGACTGGTTTCGTCGACTCTCGCCTGTTGACTATTGCGAACAGAAGAATATTTGTGACATAAATCAACAGAAAATGACAGTTCACGGAAGGACACGGAAATATAGCTACATGGACTCAGTATTTAATACTGATGGCGAATATATATATATATACTTAAGAGGGTCCGTGAAGCCTGCATGTTGCAGACAGCAGTCGATTGTTTTTGTCTTCGTACAAGTACTGTAGGATCGCCTATAGAATGTACGTGCAAATTTTTATAGGTTAAGAGTAATGAGTAAAAAAAAAAAAATTTTTTTTTTTTTTTACTTTCAATTCATGACATAGTAGGCGTGTCCTCCGATACATTTGGCCCGGCCCAACTTCAATGTCGACCTGCGTGTAACAACTTTCAATATTCTTGCCAAAAAGGAAGCCAATAGTTTGAGCCAATGGCTGAGCTTTTTGCGGTCAAATGGTCACCTTAACCACCGACAGCACACTTATAACGCGATTCAGGATTTGATGATGATCAAGAACATATATATAGTTTACGGGGTCTCCGAAACTTGCATCTGAGTATTGCAATCGCTTTCTATATGTGAAGTAAGGAGTGCTTGATAATTAGCTCAGCACAAAGTATGAGAACGCTGAGTAACATGCCGAACGTGAACATGACCAGAGCATATCGGCATTCTGTTATTCCCACAGAAATGAAACCGCCTACACCACCTTCACATTTAGGTTTTTGAGGAAACCATTTCCGTTCTTCGCGATTCATGAGACCTATTTCACGTTGCCAGCGTAACCTGCAAAAGAAAGGGGTTCAATTTGAAAGCTACTATTGAAAAAAAAAAAAAAAATTAAATGAAATGAGTACTGACTGGCGACGAAAGAGTTCTTTATATGGGAAATTTTTCCGTGTAGGAATGGCGATAATTGGTAATTGAAAAGCTTCCAATTCTTTGAGTCCACATTTTTCCGGCTCATTGAATGTGTCACTAATTATTTGATATCCGGCCTGTAATTCGACTTGATAAGCAAAAAGACCCGTTCGCACTTTTTCCATTCCCACCATAGGGCGTATATATATATTTTCTCCTTTGGAAGCGATTTTTTTATGGTACAAAAGGTTGGTAACAGGATCAGTCGACTCCTGATTATGTAAACATTAATTACTTAATTAACGTTTTCGTTAGAGCGGTTGGAATGGGAAGTTTCTACTCACATTGAAATATATTTTGTTATATACGGTGTCCTGCACGCCAATTTCCAAAGGAGATTGGGTTAAATCGTGGAGCGATTTTATGGCCTCGGAGGGGCTTTGTAAGAGGGCCACAATATTCGCTGAAAATGAGGTAAACAAAAACAAATTGGCGACAAATGTTGTAAAGATGACAATACGGCAAGATCGATTCGTCACGTTTAAATAGAACCCCTGTTGGCACATCGCGCCCCATACAAAAACCGCACAGTCCCAATAATCCATATTATGTTTGTAGGGGGAAAACATTAGTTCAAGGATAAAAACTAAAATTGTGAAAACTATCAGAATGACCAACGCAATCCAAACATCATTTTCGAATGGCATGGCAAATATATTGGCGACTGCGGACAGAGAAGGCTGGCGAAACATGATGCCTGCTCGAATACGATATGTTTCGGCTATAAAGTCGCAAAGTGCAATACGATCAAGACGCATGAAAATGGCCAATTGACCAAAGTCTAGCTCGTAACGCTGAAAGCGTCCCATTAGACCATCAAAAGAACCGTTCGGCTGATGCCAGCCATAATTATCCATTTGATGGGTATTGAAGCTGTAAGTGATTTCAAAAATGGCGTCTTGTATAAGATAATGCATACACGTTGTTGTGTAGTAGCGAGCTTACTGCATATTTAATTTGTTGGCCAATTCTAATGTTAAGCGATTGTTAACTTTAGATATTGTATCGATGTGGCGCAGAGATAGGTCTTCTATATTTGTAAACATGTCGGGAAATGCTATCACCAAGCCGGTATTAAAAGTAATATTCTCTAAATTTTCACGATATGAAATGGCTGATCCGAACTTCTGAAGATCGCCAATCATTTGCCGCGAGTGAGAAAAATTCCTGCTGATTGGTAATTGCTTTGCGGCCTTAAAACTCGCCACTTTAAATATATCCGTGAGTATAAATGATTTGAAAGGCAATACGGCAAGGATTCGAACTTCGCTGTCGGGTGGTATAAATATGTCTGCGTCTTCCAAGGCCGCCACATCGCCACTGTCTTGCGTTACTAACAACCAAAAACGATTAGTTGTAAAATAATTATGCTCAGAGGCAGCTGACCAACGTAGTACGTTGAGACCGCATTCGCTATTAAAGTTTGCCAAAAGAATACCAACTTTAAAGGATAATGCTTTCATTTGAAATTTCAAAGGACGTCTGGTAGCGTTATCGGTGCGAAATGAATTACTTGGGCCATAAATAGGTGCGGCGGGTGCGTCTTTCAGGTAATCCCGGCCGAACCAAACATGTACAGAGAAATCTTGTGCCATCAGGTAAGTCGTCAGAGCATCGGTTGATAAATTTAAAGAATCTAGAAAAAGGAATGCTTAGGTTACGATAAAATTTATATAAAATTCTTTTCAAAAACACAATAATTGCATGGGCAGATAATCAGATCAATGCTTCGCACATTCTGATATCGATAGAAAGCAGTCAATATCTCGTACAATAACGCTGGGTCTTTAGCTTGCGGTAGTGCGTTTACGGAGTTCGATGGACTGCAAATAACGGCAGAATTGAAAGTCAACCATATTATCATTGTTACCGTTAATAGTTTCATTATGAAATTGTTTTTTTATTTTTTTTTTTGTATTATTGGTTGTTCTTTCCGTTATTCTAATGCAGTCCCTATCCGTATCCCAGTCAAAGTTATTTGAAATAAGCTTTTATTTGGATTGTTTTACTGTCTAACGAGGATAGGAAAATCCATGCATACAAAGATGTGTGCGTGCATTTCTGATGCTTTATTAGGAAAAATTGTTCAAATTAATTCATTTTGATTTCTAATTGAATTCAGATAATTGCTCTTTGCATGCAACTTGCAATCGAGGCAAAATCAAATTCACTTAATATGTGCTTAGATAAGTGTAGGCGACAGGTGTTTGTAACGATTTCTAATAGAATTTTACAAAATAATTCATTGGCATTGTAAAGCATTAAGTAGAAATGGATCTCTGATCTATGTTTAAAGGACACCTGCACTCTTATTATACCCATCACGGAAGGATGAGAAGTATATTCATTTTGTCAAAACGTTTGCAACGCCCAGAAGGACGCATCAGAGACCCCACAAAGTATATACATATACATATATATATATATATATCTGCATCAAATTCTTAATCGATTTAAGCATGTCCCTCTGTCCGTTTATGTAATGTCTGTTGTAAATATTCCTCTGGCCGTAAAAATAAAGCTATCGATTTCAAATTTGGTAGAAACCTAGTAAGCGTTTCCACGCAGGTTGTATTGAAGATGGGCCAAAGCGATCGGAAGACGCAGGCCCACAGCACCATGTAAAGGTATTGAAGAAGTAAAGTATATAACTTCTTGGCCAGTTTCAAGCGTAAACTTTTCGAAGGGCACGCCTACAACACTCACATCCCACTACGACAAAAACGTTTATTTTGAAAATAGAAGGAATCAACTGCGTCCACTCAATTGTAGAGCGCGCAAGAATTTTGTTCTTTTATTTCTTTTGTATTTATTTAGGATAAACGGTGATGGGTACAAAAGATACGGTCCCGATCGAATTTAATTTTCTTACTCGTTTTCATTTATTTTATATAAATTAAAAATTCTTACGTAAAAATTTAATTTTTTTTATTTGCTTTAATTTTTTTTTTTTTTTTTTTTCAATTATCGGGAGGTTCACGAGTTGAAATTTCAACAATAGTAGAGTGTACTTCGGTTGTAGCTATGGCGAGTGCTGACTGAGCAAACAGCCTCAAGCTGAGGCCGCTCTCTCTCTTTTTTTCCTTCACTTATTTTTAATCCCTGAGTGTTTGGACGTATTGAAGAAAAACAAGTAAGAAAATTATATCGGGTTGCGACCGAGTCTATTATACCCATCATCGTTATCGCACAAAAGATTGAAAGGGAAAATATAAATTTGGATACACCGTAATATTCAGTGGTCGTGCCTGATTTTTTCTGTTTTTGTATAATAAATTTGTGGAAAATTGTAACGTGCGTCTATTATAGTTCATGAGCAATGAGTAAAAGACACGGAAAGCAGAGATATTTTCAGGTTTGGTTGTATAGACGTGTGGGCGTTGCAGTGTAGTGCAGTGTGTTTTATGGCCAGCTTGATATCTACTTCTTTGCGAACCGGTACACATTGTACCACAGATACGACAAAGTTAGTGATACGAAGGCATGGCCGAATGGATAGACGAACGGACGGACATGGTTAGGTATATACCGAAATACACTATATAATATTAAATTTTGACATATTATAATATTGGGTAGGTGTGGCAAATGTTTTCTATTTTTGTACAGGTACTACAGCATCGCCCATAAAGTATATCTACAAATTTTTGAAGATTATGAGATTTGTGTGCTGTAGTTTACGAGTAATGAGCAAAAGAATTATATGTCGTTTCCTTTGGAAAACAGAGGTGTTTTCAGTTTGCGTGCTGCTGTCCGCGGATCTTTTCACCGATTTTGCCCATTTTCGCATGCAAGAACTTCCAATATATTTTCCAAATTTCAAGTCGGTAGCTTCATTTCTGCGTCCAGGAGAATGTTTGAAACAGACATTACACAGACCGACGAACAGATGGCAATGGTTAAATCGATTCAGAATTTAATGCTGATCAAGATACTCTTTGTGGGGTTTCTACAGATTTCTTCTGGGCGATGCAAACGTTTTGATGTTATAAATAGACCGCTCATCTTTCGATGATGCGTATAAAGAAACAAAGAAAAGTAATCATAAATATTAAAATTTTAAATACTAGAAAGGTTTGAAGGTCTGTTCTTATGTTAGTTGATGCCAACAAATTTAAAATTAACAAACTCAAAATTACCTAAAAGAATGAAGCGTAACGTTGTTATGATTACCTGCGAAAATAAAATGAGAAGAAAGACGACACAAAAAATATATATTTGTCTAATATATATGGCATAATATGAGAGACTATATTAACAGTATGTATGACATGTATGGGAGGGAATGGACGACTCTCGAACATATGGAGCAAAGTAAACCAAAGAGTATACTAACATTAAAGCGTTCAAGGCGTCTAGACATCTATTGTCAACCTGGTCGTTAACAATACTGCCGAGCTAATTAATATGCGTTTACCCGGTCGTGAGTTCTGTTGATCATTTCGTTTGTAAGTGTGTCGAGTTCATCGTACTTTATATGGGCACGTTACAGCTTTCTGGTCGCATAAGCACACAACATATTTTAGGAACGAAATAATAAGACTTTCCAACATTTTCTTCAAAATTATAGCGACGAAACTCTTGGGGACCTTTACATTTAATTTCATGCTCTTTCATTCTTATTATTCGTGTGGGGAAGAATCCCATTAAAGGAGCGTGTGCTTACATGCATAGTGTATACGTACAACAGAAAACAACGTTTTTGATCTTGGAACTTTACGTGGGTCGGCGAAAATCTACAATCAATTTACTCGAGGAGAGGGTAAAATAAATTGTACATTGTATTAGATGTGTGTCGTCGTATTGAAAGGTCCCAATATATGAAAAAAAAAGTTTTAGAGTGACTTGCGGACTTCTAGAGGCGGCACGCCCCTGGCAAGAATAGGCACTATATTCGACTTTCGTTAACCTTATCGATCCTCGTCGAGTGTTGATGTGGTTGTTGTCAGTTGTCAGCCTGGCATGTCTAGGAAAGCACCAAATAGTCTGCTTCGAATCCTTTTATATCTTAACTGATGAAATACGTAGCCTAGTTGGTGTTGCTTCGGCTTTTCTTATATAAATTTGCAGGCTTAACTAGTGATCAATGCTTCGAAACGGACGACGTACTCGCACCTAGTTAATCGAGAGCGAATGGGGTTACAGTAGGCTATTTAATTTTACAATATCCACTATGATCGTGATCCTTTAGAAAGTTTGGGAAGCCAATCATATCTCCCACACAAAATGTAGGCGATCATTTTATCCATTATACCAAGTTATTAAAGATCTGCATTCAGGCCAAGCAAAGGTTCAACATTAATTGCAGTAAATCGGATATGTTTCTAACATTCTACAATAGTGTTACGAAAATCTCACCCCCTTTTACAGCTGGGGACTGATGAAGAGATTAACAATAATTGGTAGAAAATTTAGGTAAAAAAGGTATTAACACAAAAATTTTGCGAGGGTCTTAGGCACTGATAACTTGCTTGTAAAAGTGTATATAAGCAGAACATATGCGAAAGGCAAAATCAGTTGAGTTAAGGAAGTTGAATCGTAATTTCCAAACGGACAGAAGAAGCATTGTTCCTGTCAAATAATTACTAAATAGATCTTCTAAGAACTTAAAATAAAACCTATACTATAACCTAAAAATCGCAACGGTACAAGTTTAATCTCAAGGGGAGTGGAGTAAAATTCGTGAAAATCACAAGAGATAGTCTCTCGCTGCAATGCAATGATATCTTGCACGAGCGAACAATAAGATAGTGAGAGAAAAAGCAAGCAATCAAACGGCTGTTAATTAACGGCACTACTACCATTATGAATAAGAGAAGCTTATCAGTAATTCGTTCTGTTAAAGTGATCGCTCCTCTTGCTTTTAGATTGATCTGTTAAAGCAATAAGACAAGAAGAGAGAGATTGTGTGAGCGCTGATGTCGTATAACCTCGATTTTCCTTGCATTGTATAATCGTATTAGAAAAAAATTTGTAATTTTAATATCTGATCACTATTTAGTCAGCCCTGTATATGTATGTAAGTCGTTTGTGAAGGTAAGTCACCGATATTGTCGCTATTGGCATTTGTGATCGGTCAATTTTTAAAGGCGAGTTTACTCGTGCTCGGATTTCATATTGACTCAGGTTGATTCGCAGATGAATTGGTAGGCGTAGAGTTTGTCGCGGAGAGGATATTGTCGTTCAAAAATATTAACAAGTAAGGTCTTGGTTAACATTTCGTAAGAAATTGCGAAGATAGAGAAGGGAAGAAAGAAAGAAAGAAAGAAAGAGAGAGAGAGAGAGAGAGAGAGAGAGAGAGAGAGAGAGAGACAGAGAGAGAGAGAGAGGGAGAGAGAGAGAGAGAAAGAGAGAATTGAAGTTCATTCGACAAAAAGGTACAACAATTATCACGAAAATTGATCCTTTGTAGAGCAGAAAAGTCTAAGTTGTGGTGATAACTGAATGAATTGACCCATAAAATTGTAGTAATTCCATACAAAAAGGAACTCCATCATCTATGTCTATATTTGGATCCTGCGCTAAGTACAGATTACACTTGCACTTACATTAGGTTGCGTTTTGGGTCAATGAGTAAAAGACACGGAAAGCAGAGATATTTTCAGGTTTGGTTGTATAGACGTGTGGGCGTTGCAGTGTAGTGCAGTGTGTTTTATGGCCTGCTTGATATCTACTTCTTTGCGAACCGGTACACATTGTACCACAGATATCCACTTCCCCATAAATACGCACATGAAAGATATGCCTTTATATAGAAACAAGATGTAATTTTTGTGTTCTTTAATAAAAATAAGAACTATGTTAGACAATTTGGTGTAGGGCAGTGAAAGGTCGGACTTGCCGGACTACAATATTCTTACTTGTTTTTATTGATTGAAATGTCTTAAAGGTGAGAAAAAAATAGAACACGATTTAATTTGCAGAAAGTTTAATTGATTGCATGGTTAATTTAAATATTTAACATTAAACCTATCTGCGTAAATATATCAATGTCTTTACCTAGCCAACCGTTACAATTAATTCACAAATAATGGCCTTGGTCTTAATAGATTGAGCAGTGGTGTGAGTTTGGTTTTTTTTTTTTTTCAAATTAAATGATGCTAAATGCGCGCATATAATGCGGTTTACAGTTGTGCACATTAGAGTTGATCCAGCGTTGCTATTCAGCGTTGAAATCTTATTTTCCTGCATCTGTAGAAGATAAATAATTCTCCCTTGTTAGGAGGTGTACAACACCTTCGTATTTGGTATCGGCAACAAATGAGAAGAATATATGTGCTTGTGAAGTTCTTGAGAAGCGTTAACAATTTAAAAAACATGGAGAAAAAAAGGAGAAATTATTGTCCATTTTTTCGCATATTTATCCCGCTATTGCTAAAGTAGATGGATCACAACTGTTCTCGTTCATTGTATTTCTCGCTAGAGAGTATAACCTTCGCTAAGAAAAGGGCAAAGAAAACACAAATTAACTTAACACTTAACACCTGAGTAAACTGTAGCAATTGCAGGGGGGTGGTATTCAGAAGCACATGCCATTGTTGTGCTAACCAGTTCAAAGTGAAATTACTAAAGCCCCGGAATTTGTAGGAGAACGCGGCGTTGCGAGCATCTCTCTGGCACAGACAATTATCTTATATTATGACAACAAACAGATGGCCAGGGTGTGATGTTGATTTAAATCCCGTGCATGGACTACCTGTTAAGCTGAACGATGACTGTTTATGAATTATATGCGTATATAGTTGTGTACGTGCGTGTGTATGTACGTTGGATTTGATTATGCACTCATTACGTACATGCATTGTGCATGAACATAATATAGTAGAATGAGAGGTGTTGGCGCTAAAGTGAATTACTCGAACAGTCGCTAGTTGCTGCGATACAGAGAAAATTAAATTTTAACCAGCATTCGAGCGATGCGCATCGGTGTACTGGGAAACTTATAAGAGGCTTATAGTCGCGTATTTCAAGCTCGTTTTTAATCAGGATCCAATGCTTACGCCTTAACCGTTGGATTCAATTTTCTTGTTTTGCCCTCTTCTTTATTCCATCTAGTTTTAATATTTACATGTTGACCATTTGCCGTAAGGATATATGCGAACATGAAGGCAATACATATAGAGTCTTTCAGGGAAAATAAGCCTTTATATGGTAATAACACACTTCACCTACATTACTAAGTAAGCAATCATTTTGGCCCAAGTGTGTGGAATATTTAAGCATAGGCCTAACTTGCGTATTGCGTTTTCACTTATTCGTACTTAAATTTAATGACAATATGTCAATTTATTTAGAGACCATGTAATGGACGCTTCTTTTTAGTGTTAATTATTGCAACCATGTAATGGACGCTTCTTTTTAGTGTTAATTATTGCAATCACACACAGCTAACGGAGAATTTAAATCAAACCATAGGCCGCAAAGTCAATGATACTATGCATACTGAATATATCAACGATGTTATGTGTCTTTCTAAGAGTTTTCGGATATTTATCCGAGTTTTGCACTTTTCGTGTGGAACCGAAATACTCTCTGTACTCTATGTTCCCGAAAGGGTGGACCGAACGTCAAATTGTGTTCTAATATATCTTTGAACTTATTCAACCGATCAATTTCAAGATGTTCACAGATGCCTAAAAAAATCACGAATGATTGTAAACTTAAAACAAAAAAAAAAAAAAAAATCGAAAATTTCAGTCTGTTTTCATCAGTAAATTATGACCTGCAGTAGACATCAATTTGAAATTTAAGTTGATAGTGATTATTATTCCAAGACTAAGAGTTTAAAACCACTAGTATCTAAGGCTAACGGCTTTATTGAAAGGTCTTTTAAATTGAATTTTTAATTGGAAAGTTCAGGATGATATGTTCGCAATCACAACAAAGAAATAAAGTTGTAATCGTCTTAAGACGGATCGAACTGGATGTTCTCGTTCGCCGATCTCGACTGAAGAGAAAAGAAGCTGCTTAAGATAATATGTACGCAAGAAGAACACGCAGAGCGTAATTAACTTTCAAACTTCTTTGCTGTCAGTTGGCAGCTCAGTTATATATTTTCAATATATTTTCAATACATAGTAAAACTTATGAGTATTTATACTCTACACCATTAGTTGTGCAGGTTATATTAAATTACTGGGGATATATAATATATAATATATCAGGCCCAGAAGAGTTTGATATAGATGCACTATTTATTATATCGATCGATTCAGAATCGCTTACTTGCTAAGCTTCTCTGTCTGTCTGATGTCCATCCACATAATTTTCTATTTAAACTACAGATCGCAATTTTTCAAATATTTTTAATGAAGTTCAGCACATTCAGACATGTTTTGGAGTAAGAATGAACGCTGAACGCTGAACGCTGAAAGAGATTCAAACCGGAACCCGTTTTCGATTACTTACCATATAAAGACTACTCACCGTATAAAGTCGTTAAATGAAACAAAATAAAAACAACATGACATTGGTAGTGGATCTGATGATCGATCTTAGTCGGCTATAACGTTTTTACTTTCGTTGATTTTATCTTTAGTTTTTATTTCATTTCAATTTTTGTTTATTGCGCATGCATTTTAAAATTAAACCATATATATATTTATGTAAATTTTCATGTATATCACAATATTATTTATTTTCAATAAGGACACAGTTATCGTATGTGGATGCTGTATGTTGTACTAGTTACTATTTAATACTTTATTTGCCGTTTTCCTGTGGCGATGTTTTATAGGCATTTTGCGCCAAAATCGAAACTAATACCATTTCAATTAGTATTAGAAGATTGATGATTGCTGCACGAGAAGTTAAAATAATGGATTTCAAATACACAGAGGATAAATAAAGAGAGGGAACTTACTTTGCTTATAAACCGTATGATTCATGGGATACGAGTTACCCAAAGTGACGCTATTTAACTGACTATCTAATAGCATGTATTGTAATTTACATAGCAATAAAATTAATTGCAAACAAAACATTTTTTTCTATATGAACGTTAAAAGACAAAAGAAATTTATCATCAATAAAAGTAATAAAATAAAATAAAATAAAAGAAGAAAAAAAAAATAATAATAATAATAATAATAATAATAAAAATCACTAACTTACCATTAAACCGCACCCTGAGCGCATTGTGGTAACTACTCGTACTATGATATTTAAAGCCCAAATTCCCAGTAGAATAGAGCAAACAATGAAAGGCATAAAATATATCATAACATTTTTATACAGATCCTGAAATGCTTATAAAATGTTAATTACAGATAGTAAAAGGCAACGGAACAATTAATTATTGATAAACAATAGCTTACCTGTTCGCCGTAGTAAATGAGATTTAGAACGAGCATAATCGATCCTTGAATAAACGGCATTTGCCATATCATGTAGCGGAGTATGCATAATTTAGGTTTCGATGGCATTGCGTTCGGAAAGCATCGACAGCAACAGCAACAGGGTGGCGTATTAAATACGAGGGCAGCAGCATCAGTTGATTTAATATAATTGGCTTCAGATTCTATATAGCGAAAGCACAATTCCCTAAGTGCCACAGCCCCGACTGTGAAACACAAATGCATAACTGTATGGCATATTAACCAGGCCTTTGGCACAAGTATGGTAGCTAAGGCAGCACAACCAATACATGGATACAATGAACATAAAAATATCGAAGGTCCCCATTGCGTAGCATCAACTTGCTTAAGTACTTTTGCGACGGTAGTGCAGAAAATGGAAATGTTTAGAATCACTAAAAGAGCAGCGACAAATATGGACAGCGTGATAAATGGCGTTAGATCTGATCAATTGTAAGAAGAGGAAAATCATTAAAAAACACATCAAAATTTTATTAAATTTCGGGCAAAAGAATTTATTTATTTAATTATTACTTACTAATATAATAGTCCGTTAAGGTGGGATGGTCATAAGTGCTCTCGATAATTAAATTAAAATCATTTGTGGAATTTTCCGGAATTTTTGAATCCCTTTGTGAATCAAGCATCATATATGTATATAATCATGCATACAATTGGCATAAGTTGGCTTAGATATTAAATATTATTATATTAATTCACTACATGGATATATGTGGGAATAATTAACTTATTTCATACTTTCCGATGTTCCGATATCTATAAAAAATAATTAATACTTTATTTGTTTGTTTTTTGAATGGTGAACCGGATTAGATATCTATACCTAAATGTGTTGTTTCTTTTGAAAGCAAGCTAACAGTGTAATCGTTTTCAGAGTAAATAAAGAAAACGAAGAAATATAGAAAAAACTTACGATCATCTTGATAGAGACAATGTTCACTATATTTTGGAGCACAGTCTATCTATCCCCTAATAATTAATAAACATAAACAAAAGAAATGGACCGACGGACTTATGAGATGATGATCAAGAAAAAAAAAAAAAAATATATATATATATATATATATATTCCTTGTGTTCAGATGACTTTTCATCTTACTCGAAAAATATTTATTTATTCATCGATATCTATTTCGTTGAATATCATTATCAGCATCTTCTCGGCCTATTCTGAAGAGCTTGAATCACTCATAAATATTTTTCTTTTTGCCACAAAGTAGACTCGCCAAACGTCATAGTGAACATTTTAAGTGAGTTAGAGCATTTAATTTTATTATTCAGATCCTTTGATTCAAATCGCCAAGCCCGCCAAGATACATCTGTACTCTACATCTGCCAAAAACAAACTCTAAATGCAAAATGGCTGATAATATCAACACGTGGTGGGGCCGTGTGCATTAACATAACAAAAAAAAAAACCAAAAAAAAAAAATTCGGAAATCTAATATACATAGGCTAAGAAATATGAAAAAGTCAGCTTTATTTTTGAATATATTTCGTACACGAAATCGTAATGTAACGATGTTGCGGCAAGAGCCAGTCTGCGCGACTTTAAATCTCAATGTGACAGCGTTTACTTTCGTCTTAGTTATAGTGAGCACTTAGTTGGTAAACGCTGCCCACATCACCATCTCTCCATATCTTTTTTGCTTTCCTCGCTTATTTCTAATCCTCATCGTGTTATACCTTAACGCGCCTAACTCCTGACTGAGACTGAGACTTGCAAAATTAGTAAATAAAATATGTTGTAATAGAGATTTGCGACAAACGTCTAGCAAAATATGTATGTGATCATCAGTTAAGACATTGCGTGTAGGTATATGCCAAGTTTCAACTTTCTAACTGATTCGCTCTTGAGTGTCACGAAAGACAGTGGGAGAGTATAGGCTCAAGTAAATAAATCGCATCTGAATATTACGTTGATCTAGAGGTCTGCGATGTGTGCGCACTGAAATTTGCAAGCTATAACTAGACTAGATTTAAATCAAGCAAATTTTTGTGCCGTTCGTTTCCTTAATCAGTGGCTTTAGAATCGTGTAACTTTGATAACACTAACGCCCTATATCAAGCTAACGTCTAACGCATGTGAGAGGTCACAGTTCGTAGATAAGTGAAATCGAGATATGTTTTAATTCAGTCGAAAGTAATTACGTTTTGCAATTGTGTTAAAATTCTGAAAAACGTTGATATATAATATATTCCAAAATGACTTTAGTCAAAACGATTACACTTGGCACGCACGTTACATGGGGTAAAGATGATGGAGATGAAAATTGTTTGTTTCTCTTCATTCGCGGCATTTCAATGTTACAAACATGCTGAGCTTTCACCAATTGATTTCGTAAAGTCGACGCAAATCTTTAGAGACCAGCGCGTTTCATTTTATGACATCATTGCGGAAGTAAGAAGAAGAAGAAGAAGTAAGTACTGATTGTGAAACAGTTTCAAGCTCTTGTTTGACTATAGGAGAAAAATGATATTGGCGTAGGGTACGAGTCATGTGAATGTAATGGAACGGAATCTTTGATGAAACAAAACGAAATCTGGCCATTTTTGAAAATACTGTTAACGCACGATGCAAAGTATATCATATACGGCAATAAGTTGCGAAGAATACCGTGATCCAGAGTAAATAAAGCTGAAGAAAAAGTTCGGGATTGATTCCTTCTGTTCGATGAGTTGCTCCAACTTGGTCAGACGGTTTGTTCCTCTTCCTAGTGACGAGAAAAAAACAAAAGTATCATCATTCATCGCGACAGTGCCAGGTCATTCGCATCGTTAATCGTCCTCCGAGAATTAAAAGAACTTGAGAGCAAAAATTTCGATTCGTTCACTATATAGCCTGCACCTTGTCACATCCGACTATCATTTGTTTCATTTTTTTGCGAAACTCAATTACTGGTATAAAACGATAGCTTAAAAAGAAGTCGGTGAAAACGATTCGATTCAATTTTTTACCCACAAATCCCTGAACTTCCGTAATGATGGCATAATGCTTTCGCCAGAAAAATGGCAAAAGGTTATCGATCAAAATAGTTGGGCTTATAAAGTTCGTTTATAAAATGTAAACAAAAAAAAAAATAAATGGCTTTGCATTCTGGTGATAAAACGTAACGAGGCTAATTTTTGTAGCTTTGTACAATCGAACAATGAAAGTACATTCCATTTGCCATTCCGTTTGTCATAATCAGGAGCACATATCTAGCTAACTTTCTTGTTTGGTGGGTGTTCATGATAAAAGCCAAAAACCAAAACCAAAGGATTGACGATCGAAAACTAAGGTTTCGCAGATGCATTTTTAGTTGTGCAGCAGTGATGATGGCCTCACCGATGGCCGATCCTAACTGTTTATTTGATGTATTCAAGTTTTTTAGACTCTCGTCTCCTTAAAAATCTGAAATTTACAAAATTCGAAATAATAGCACAGTCAGCTCGACTATCAATCAAGATAGCGAAGATGCGAAACTTTCATCGATAGAATTACTAAGTCATCATTTCTATTGGGTGAGCACATTTATATGTATAGAAAGATTGATTGGAGTTATTTTTTTTTTTTATAAACTCGCTTATGTAAGCAAATAAAATGTAAACGGATTTCGATTTGGTTGTGTTTATGGTGTTTGTAGTAAAGGTGCGCTTATGCTACACACATGAATTATCCCCAATCCCGTCGCTCCCCTTGCCAAATAACAAAAAAAAAAAAAGAAAAAAAAAAAAAAAAGAAGTAAATAAATAAAAAGAAAAGTAAACGTGCTGGTGCTTCATTTCCATTCATTCAATCTATGTATGTATGTATGTATGTATGTAACCTTGGAAAGACGGTTTTGACGCAACTTGATAGGTCAAAGAAAAATTGCAACGAATATAAAAAAGTAAGTTTTAAAGTAACCAGAGAAACGCAACGAAACGGTAATCTTTAAAGATCTGTGATCGAGTAAGAGACCATTGCTCGCAAATTTTTTATTATTATTACTATTATCAATTTATGGTCTTATAAAGAACTACGATTAATATTATAACAGAATTAATTTTGTTTTTGTTTTTGTTTTTTTAATTTTCAATAATCTATAATTTTTATAAATGTTGACTTAGCCGAGATTTTGTAGAAAAATTACAAATTATGAGAAGACGTTGAACAGAAAATCTACATATATATGATAACAATTGACACTAATAGATGACAATCTGAACTTAGACTTATCTAACATTGCCATAGGGATTGTAGGGGCAGGGCAAGTGTACATACTAATGCATAACATAATAAATGTATAAACGTTTATACATTTATGTTAACATATATATATACGCCACCAAGAGATAATACATTTTTATACGATTTTATCATCTCTATCATCTGTACGCGTAAACTTTTATGGTAAGAGCAGAATAACATTGACAAACAGAGAGACAGACAGACAGACAAAGACATCTAATAAAAAAAGATTAAGAAAAATACGAGAGAAATTGTTTACATTATTTACATTATATTACATATGTTGAGTCGAATATTCTTGCACCTTGCACAGCTTTCGCAATTTCAATCATTTTAGGATCCAACCAAATTAAATAATCTATTCCTTCCTATTCCCACTTTGAAAGATATCTTCTTTCATTTCAAATCAAAATTGGATTTTCTGCTCCCCTAGGATAGGATTCGATAGCAAACGTAATGATTAAAAAGATTATATTATGGGACATGATGGCTATCGGTCGTAACATACTTACAAATATAAAAATTCTGCGCGTTTATAATCATGAAAAATTTAAATTAGATGATAAAACAATACTTTTGTCGTCGTCATCGTGACCATAAGAAAATTTTTTTATATGTGCATAACAGTTCAATGTAACTACACGACGACGACGACAATCATCATATGAAAGAGCAGCGTTTCTTGTTGTTTAACACTTCAATATGAAATATTCAAGTTTTTCAATCATTTTTATAGGATACATGACAAGAAGACAAATATCATATATGTGTTACACACGCGGTGCGAATATATGTGTGCATTAATGAAAGAATATTTCGACAAATTTCGCCGAGAGACCTAGATCTAGGCGAGAATTCGTGTCTTTCGAATTATGTTCGAGATATAAGTAAATTCATTTTCTTTTTTTATCATCTGGACTATAATGTGGTCTCGCGACACTAATTTTCTTTTGTTTCTTGCCAATGTTCATTTAACATGGCAACTGTCAGGGAGAAGATAAAGAAATAGGGAGGTTCTGGCCTTTGGCTGATTGGTGTGTGTCCAATCGGTAAGTATTACTACGCTTTTACCGACTAAGCACTCACTGTAGCTACGAGCAAAGGTACCTTTATCGCACTCTAGATTTGTATCCGCGAACACTGATTGGGTAGCCGCGATTCCTACCTGCTCGTCTACTCAGGCGGAATGAACAATTTGCTTACATATTACTTCGAATCTATTTCATCACCTATGGGAATATTGCCGCGATGCAGGCTATTGCTTTTGTTAGTCTAGTCTAATGGGAAAAATAAAAACCCTTTTAATCATTAAATGCCTTCATGTTAGATCGGTTCATAAGTAACTTTCGTTTCTTTGTCAGACAGTCTTTTTATTAGCCATTTTGTTATACCTCCCGTTGACTGGCGTCGATTTTTCTCCGCCTTTAAAAGTTTCTCGCCAAAGTCGGAAGGATATCTCCGCTGCGTAAGTCGTATCTCCAGAACGGAATTTTACAAACCAATTTCTAACTACCCGATCAGTTATCACTCCTTCACCGTATACGCTGCATATTTTTTCGGCTGTCTCTTAAGCGCTCTTGCTTTATTTAAATGCCCAGAGCATTGCATGTCGAATATGCTTTTTTCTGACTCTCCATTTCAGTGATTAAGAAAAACCGTTGAATGTAACATGCACCACATGGAAAAAAAAAAAAAAAGAACAAGACAAACTGAATCCTCATCTATATGGTGAAACCGAAAACTCGTTTATTTCGATGACTTATAGGGGGCACATGCGAACAATAGATTGTAACCAACTGCATCGGAACTTACTTATAACTCGACCTAATATTTATTTTATTGATTAAGATTTGATGGCAATATCCTCGGCTGTTGCTGAGAACGTAATGCAATCTACCTTAAAAAGAACAAAAAAAAAAAAGAGTAAAATAACAAGTTATTTTACTTAGGTTCGCACGCATTACAGCAGGAGAGATAATACGAACAATTTCACTTACTTCTTATTTATGTTAAAAGGGGAGGAAAGCGAACGAAACTGCTTAGGCGTTAGTTGATGTTTGAAGCGAGCGATGTCTTTTTCAATTTGCTGCTTTTTCTCTTTCTTTTTTTTAATACACACTCGGGAAATCCGCAAAGCAAGCTGGCATGAATAGCAAGCTGTAAGACACAATTTAAATCTATATAATGCGGCATAAAGTTGATCTACCGCTCAAATGTTGACACCACGTAAGCACATGTTTTTTTAATTAGCTATCAACCAATATTTACTCGCCCAGAAGAAAAACTCTTTACACAATGGCATTATCTCGCGAGAATACATACATATATATGTACATTTTATTTGCAAAACATGCGAATAATTCTCTTAAGATATGAAATTAGAAATCGTAATGTGGCAATCTTGATCGATACTATATATTTCCCCTTTTTTATACAAAAAGCAAATTGATCTAAAATTTCTTTCTATTCTTAGCATTAATTAAGAAATGCAGGTTAAGGATACATTAAGATCCCTTCACTGAATTTTAAATTTTTTTTAAAAACTAAAGCAATACGAATTTGTTAACATATCCTATGAATGAACTTTAAATTTAGCATTGCATGTATTCTTATGCTCATCAGCGACGAATGATGGGTATATTCATTTCGTCAAAACGTTTGCAATGCCCGGAAGCAGGCATCACAAACCCCCCCCCCCCCCCACAAAGTATATAATATATTTCTTGATTAGCATCAAAATCTAAATTGTTGTAGGTGTGCACACGTCTGTCCGTTTGCCCATCTGTCTGTTTGCGTGACTTTGTAGTATTTGTGGTAAACAGTCTCCCATTACGAGAAATGAAGATATTGCCAGCAATTTTGCAAAAGAATTTGGAATTGATCTAAACTTTTCGAAGGACACGCCTACAACACACGCACATGCCTATACGATAAAAACTTATTTATTTATTTTTGTTTTTTTTTGTTTAGAGAAAAATCAGCTGCATCCACCTCATATTATAGATTTATACATAACATTTTTTTTCTTTTCCTTCTTTTGTCCTTGTTAGGATAGCGATGATGGGTATAAAAGATTTGATCCCAACCGAATTTTACTTGTTATATACAATACAGCTGCGTACACCACAATCAAGTGGCTTTATTTATTCAAAAATTGTTTCATTGATCAAGTGTATCATCGATTTAAGTGACGTGAGGTTTTTAAGAACACGATTGAATTCTTATGAGGTGAAATAGTTATTGACTTGTGTTTCTACATCGCTTTTACATCCGATTCGTTATTGCGGTTCTTAATAGCCCAAGTCAGCAACAAATCTGGGCATTCTTAGTGCCTCTATAGGCTATTACTCACTTCAAGGTTGGACTGTATACTAATACGAATTTTTTCGTAAATGTCCATTTTTAAATCAATATTTCAGTTGGATGCGCAAGCGTTTTTTGTATGCATTGCATCATTTGTGTTACAAGGGAATACCAAATTTGTGCGTATATGTACAGTGTAAATAAATTGTTTTCATTATATAGACAATATACTGTTTAAGCTGACTTGGACTTATTTATCGGTTAGTGATTAGAAACTGCTTCAAACACTATCGGTTATCTTAGGGGTTGACTTTAGTTTATTTCCGGACGGCTTATGTGAATGGTGTTTTTTGGGCCTATGCTTCGATTCATTATTTTATTTATAAGAGAGCAAGAAAGGGAGAGAAAGAGAGAGAAAGAGAGAGAGAAAGAAAGAGAAAGAGAAAGAGAGAGAGAGAGAGAGAGAGAAAGAAAGAGATAGAGATAATTATGAAGTAATACATGTTTTAAACTTGATATAGATTATTGGATTGGAAGTCAACGGATAGGTTAATTTTTTTTCTTTGTTCTTCCTCTTTCCCGGTAAATGTTATTACATACATAGTGAATATTTAAGATTTAGTCGCCGTGCAAGCTTAATATGGATTATTGGATTGGAAGTCAACGGATAGGTTAATTTTTTTTTTTTGTTCTTCTTCTTTCCCGGTAAATGTTATTACATACATAGTGAATATTTAAGATTTAGTTGCCGTGCAAGTTACGCTTTGCTTATCCCTGAGATCGTTTCGAATTTGTGTCTGTCCCAATATACATAAATGTTTCCATAGTTCAATTACTGAAATCTTTTTTTAATTTGTCGAGAAAACCGAAAAGTCATTTAAAACTAATTAATTCACTTGATTCGTCTATGAAAATTGAATTTGCTAAAATTGTTCATCTATGTGAACACTACCTATATATATATATATATATATGTATGTTACATTACATGATTATTAGTATT